GTGTGAGTTAAAGGCTAACCTGGTCTACATAACGCATTCCAAGATAGCCAGGGGTACAAAGTGAGCTCGTGTCTCAAAACAAACAAAAACATCCCTCGCCTTCTCATTAGATTAATTATACATTAAAGTGATGCCGTACTATGCGAGGCAGTGGTGGCGCAAACTTTTAATCCCAGCACTCAGGAGGCGGTGCGTGGTAGCTTGCCTACCTTCTATGAGAAATTTGCTTCCACTTTTCAGAGAAAACCCGTTGAACCTCAGCATCTGGCTAAGGGGCCGATGCACGGGGACTCCATCCCTGTGGGTGATGGCATCTCTGGGCAGCTCAGGGTACACCCCGAGCTTTAGAAGAACTCTGCATTCTGGGGAGGTGCCGCATCTGTTCTCTGAGAGGGTAGAGTAGCTCTGAGGCTTCAAGTCTTCACGGGCTGGCTCCTGCTTTGGTCTCCTGCTCCCGCTAGGTTTGCTCTTTTGAGCGCAGTGTATGGTGATCGAGACTGAGAGCCCGTGAACTCCACTGTCTTTTCACATCTCGTTCTCACACTGGGGACCTCTGTGGGCTCCTCACATGCTCTGGCAGCTCCCTTTGAACCTGGCTTCTATTGTTGCTCTAAAGGTGAGAGGCAGTTACTCCAAGCAGAGACTGGATCAGATGGGAACAGGGCCCATGGTCAAAGCAAGCAAAGGCTACCTCTACCTCGCTTCCCCCCACCCCGCTTCCTCCAGTGCTGAGCTGGACAAGGCCACTTCCTCCTGCTGGTTTGCCTCTTGTTTCTCAGGAAGGCCATGAGCTTTGTAGTTGAGGGAGTTAGGTTGCCAGAGGAACTTTATCTAGTGTCTAATATCCCAATGAGGCGCGCTTAGGGAAACGCCTTTAACAGACCCTTTCTCCAATGTCTGTGAGCTGCTGACATCCGAGTTTCTGAAGAGAGCGGGAGCCAGGCTGACAGGCAGAACCTAGTTAATCTGCACTTCTTCAGTAGTAATATGACTTGGGTAGGTTGAGTTTGTGGGTTCCGTTTCCAGGTGCTGTGTGGAAGGCGCCCAGCACGGACCCTTACCCCCACCCCAGGTGCCTGTAAGGGACTCTGTGACTGTTTCTTTCCTTTTCTAGATCCTTCGAAGATGTTTGTAGTTAACTCATCTCCCTTCCCCAACCCTGTGTGTGTGGGTAGAGAAGGCTGGAAAATATCCAATCTAAAGAGAGGAAAGATGCCCCCAGTCCTCTGGCCACTAACTTATTCCATAGTTATGCTGACTTAGCCTGATTATTGGTGTTCTTGTTACTCAGGGTTTGGGATCTACAGGAAATTCAGATAAAGAACCTCTTACAGAAAATTAACTCTGTGTAGCAGCTGGAGAGATGGTTCGTTAGTTAAGAATATTGGCTGCTGTTTCCACATTTGATTCCCATCATCCAAGCAATGGCTCACAACCAGCTCTAACTCCCATCCCATGGGATCCAACTCTTCTGGCCTCTGCAGGCACCAGGCACACTGAGAGAAACATGCAGACAAAACACCTGTATACATAAAATAAGTTAATAATGATGAAATAAAAGGGAAGTTCATCCCATTGGATGATAGTACACTTCAAAAGATAGTTAAATAAAATAATCTGGCCCTGGTGAATGAAAGGTCATCCTGACTGGTGGCTCTGCAGCCAGGGGGGCCAGTGGCAGGGGGACTGAGTTCTCAGTGTTCTCAGGAGTCCCAGTGATTTTTTTTTTTTTTGCTGTTTTCATCTCTTTTTGGCTGCTTTTATCTCTTCATCCACTTCACTGGCTTAAGAAGGAATCTCAGGCCAGCTTCCACATTTGTTTTCCCTGGGGAAGACTAGGAAACTGGCTATAATCGCTCCCATCAGAACCTGGCAGTTCCCCAGCTCCCTTTTTTACCCAGACAACTGCTAGACCTGGATGCGCATGAGCAGAGCTGTATCTTTGAAGCTGTCATTTCCCCTCTGCCCCAAGTGAGTGGCCTTGGCACGAGGTGGCCTGGTGGACACCCCCATACCATGAGGCTTATGAAGGCCAATTTAATAACCAGTGTTTTGCTGGGCAGTGGTGGCGCACACCTTTAATCCCAGCATGCGGAAGGTACAGGCAGGCGAATCTCTGTAAGTTTGAGGCCAGCCTGGTCTACAGAGCAAGTTCCAGGACATCTAGGACTATTACACAGAGAAACCCTGTCTCAAAAAAATAAAAAGAAAAGAACCAGTGCTTTTTTGTTGATGTCGTTGTTTTGTTTTTCAAGACAGGGTATACTCCCTAGTACTTGCTAAAGAGTAAAGATTTAGAGGAGCAGACCTCTGACTGCAGACCTGAGAAGGAGCCTGGCTCAGATGACAGCCACCATGACATGAGCAGGTGCCCCCTGGGAGACTGAGGTGTAGACTGAGTAGATAAACACCAGCTTCTTTAACAGAATCTGCACTCCGAGCCAGCACTAGGCTAAACTGCACACACAATCTCTCAACACAAAGTTTCCTTAAAATAAGCGCTGGTCACTTTGTACAGATTAGTGTGAAGCTCAGAGTTGTATGGAAGTTTCTATCCCATCCAGTCCTGCAGCCATTCAGTCTCAAAGAAACACACAGAGGCTCATATTAACTATAAACTGTTTGGCCTATTGCTCAGGCTTATTGTTAACTAGCTCTTACAACTTAAATTAACCCATAATTCTTATCTATGGTTAGCCACGTGGCTTGGTACCTTTTCTCAGTAAGTCTTTCTCATCTTGCTTCCTCTGCGTCTGGCTTGTGACTACATTTCTGCTTTTCCTTTTCCCAGAATTCTCCTAGTCTGGTTGCCCCACCTATACTTCCTGCCTGGCTACTGGCCAATCAGTGTTTTATTAAACCAACACGAATGACAAGTCTTTACAGTGTACAAGAATATCCCACAGCACAGAGAGGTGCGCTAACTGGCCTCAGCTGCCACAGGCTGTGTGATGGAACTGGGGCTGTGGGTTCCCACACTTACACCCGCACTGCCTTCTGGACATTTGGGCATAGGACCTTTCAAAGGTTGTCTGACCCAGGGTGGGGGATAGTAAGAGTGCACAAGTCATAAATTCTGAATTATCCAAGTGCCTTGTATTTCTCTAGACCATTCTCCAAGAAGCCAGACAAAGTAGGCATGGCTGAAGCAGGTTCTTCTTTGAAATTTTCTTTTTTCTTTTCTTTCCCTTCCTTCCTTTCTTTCTTTCTTTCTTTCTTTCTTTCTTTCTTTCTTTCTTTCTTTCTTTCTTTCTTTCTTTCTGTTTTTTTCTTAGAGACAGGGTTTCTTTTGGAACCTGTCCTGGAACTAGCTCTTGTAGACCAAGCTGTCCTCCAACTCACAGAGATTCGCCTGCCTCTTCCTTCCGAGTGCTAGAATTAAAGGCGTGTACCACCACTGCCCAGTGAAATTTTATTTTTCACAGGTTGTGGTGCATTCTGTTAATCCCAGCACTTGGGAGGCAGAGGCAGGAGGATCTCTGTGAGTTCAAGGCCAGTCTGGTCTACAGAGAGAGTTCCAGAACAGCCAAGGCTACACAGAGAAATACTGTCTTGAAATAAAAAAATAAAACATTTTCCTTTTGGTTTATTTTACTTTCTGAGTAAGATTTATTTTACTTTATGAGTGTTTTGCTTTCATGTACATCTGTGTAGCACTTGCATGCCTGGTACCAGCAGAAGTCAGAAGAGGGCGCCAGATTCCCTAGAACTGGAGTTACAAGAGGGTTGTGGGCCGCCATGCTTATGCTGGAAACTGAATCTGGGTCCTTCAGCAGGTGAACCACTAAGCCATCTCTATAGCTCCAAATTTTTTTCCTAAGAGGCAGATTTAAGGGCAAGGCTATGGCCATCAGTATGGTGGTTCCCCCCAGGCAGACAATTGTGGCAGCAACTTTGAGGAGAGAAATCAGGGCCAGAGACATACAATCTGTAAGACAGGGAGTAAGGCACCAGCAAGCCTTTGGGCTGGGAGTGGATTGCACAGAAACCCCAGAACCTTCTTGAGCCTCAAATTATATAGTAGTTTTTTTTTTTTTTCCTCCCCTACCCTGAAAACAGGGATCCTACCTGGAGGTCCAGCCTCTGGGCAGACTCAGCCCATGGAACTGGTCAGGCTGGCCTTGAACTTAGAATGCTCCCGGCTCAGCTTCCTGAGTGGCTTATGGAGGAGCTGGCCTGTGACACCAGGCCTAGCTGGAGTCTATTTTGTATGCAGTCCACACCTCTAAAGACCCTTTTCCCTCCTTTGCTAAACATAGTTCCCTTTTACTTCAACTCCTGTTTTAACTTGTTTGTTTTTGTGGCAGGGTCTCGTGTAACCCAAGATGACCTCAAACTTGCTACGTAGTTGAAGATGACCTTGAACTCCCGATTCTTCTGCTCTATCTCCTCAGACCTGGAATCACCCATGTGGGCCACCATGTCTAGTTTTATGGGGTGTTGGGGAGGAACCCAGCACTTCATGTATGCTAGGTAAAAGTCTTTGAGAGTACCAAAGGTGATCCTGGCTAAGTAAGCAAAGGCTACTCTCGGAACCACCCCCACCCCTGGCAGTTTCCGGATCTACTTCACGCCTTGGCCTTGACCTCCCATAACTCCAGAGCTAGTCAGTGCAGCCCCCTTTCCTCGGCGCGCTTCTCAGCAATTGTATTCAGGGAGCTTTCCCAGGTACTGGAAACTGAGATCTCACCGGGGAGAGAGGACTCAGTGTTGGATGTGTAAATAGACAGTATTTGTTCGGGATTGCTCTTTCTGAATTTTGGGTATTTGTCTATTTATTCATTTATTTATTTTGGTGCTGGAAATGCATGCAAGGCAAGATTACTACCAATCGAAACACATCATCCCGATCCCCTTCTGGGTCTCTTTTATTCTTACTTTTTAATCACTGTTCTCGGGGCGTTAAAGGGAGGAGATCCAAAGTGGCCGATGGCGCGCATAAAGCGGGAAAATAGGCACGCCGCTTCTTCCTATAGGCACTGTGCAGACTAGGGGCAGAAATGAACAAGGTGCTCGGAGGCACGAAGGTGTGGTCTACACTGAGACCACGGCCACCTAGCCGTTCAGGTTACTTATATCCTGCCCGTCTCACTTTCCGTCCTGCTGATCCAGCCAGCCAGGCTTTCTCCTCTATTCTCGCCTCCTCTCCCCCTTGAATCCAGTCCTGGTTTCCCCGCTGCCAGCTCCTTCTTCTGCCTGCTGGGCTCCCTCCCCGCCTCCGCCCCCGCCTCTCCGAGAGTCCCGGCGGTCCGCTCGGCTCCCCGGCTCCCCTCTCGCACCCCCGCCTCGCAAGCCACCCGCGGCTCCATTCGCCCAGTCCGGCCGCTCCAGTCCGGATCTCGCTGCCACCCGACCCGGGTGCGAGTTCCAGCAGCTGGGAAGGAGGCGGCAGCGGCTGGCCCCGGTTCCCCTCGGCCGCCTCGTCAGCCCGAGGTTGGCGGGGGAGAGAGCGGCCCAGCAGCCCCGGGAGCCCCTCCGAGGACAATGCACCCGGCGCTGGGCC